ATCCATCCATCCATCCATCCATCCATCCATCCATCCATCCATCCATCCATCCATCCATCCATCCATCCATCCATCCATCCATCCAACCAACCAACCAACCATCCACCCAGCCAACCAACCATCCATCCATCCAACCAACCAACCAACCAACCAACCAACCAACCAACCAACCAACCCTTTGTCAGGGTTGCGATGGGGGCCAGTCCTCTCAGATTGCATTTGGTTAAATGAAACAAACGCATATGAGGTTTGAGTACCAACACATGCCACAGAAATATCCCACTATTACAAGACATGATTATGAGTACGTCTAATCTTGCTGTTTATAGCTTAAGAGGTTTCTAACATATGTAGTCAACCAAAGCCGTTAATTTGAAACAGTATAAACACCAGAAAAAGTCTCAAGCATTTTATGTTAGACTAAACTATGAGGAGTACTAACAGATGGCTGCAGATGTCTCTAAAAACATGGAGCAAAACCTCAGACTGACCCAAAGCCAAAAGGAAAATGTAACAAGTAAACTGGTATAATTTGTTACGCAATCTAGATTCTTATTGATGCCAACTATGTTACATGTGGAGTAGTAAACATCCAAAGCCAACGTTTATAGAAAGTGTCTATGCAACATGATGGAAAAATAATAACAGTTTTAACTGTTTTGTTTTTTTTAACCCAAGAAAAATATTTTACAATTAGAGAACAAGGAAGTTGTGAAGCGCTGAGGAAAAGGTTGGTGATTAGACTCAAGTAACCCTTTGGGCATCAAACGAAAAAATCCTAACTAGTTTCAGGGGAAGTTTAAACATTAAAGCAGAGCAAGAATAAGCATACTATGCTCCAGATCATAAATGCTTTATGATGGAAAGTCTGTTTGATTTTTCTTTGTTTGAGATGAGTGAATGGATGATCCAACATGTAGTCCCATACTATTGCCTATCATTTACATTTTTTTTTTTTACACATTGACTTTTTTGTTTTTGTTTGGAAGAGTATTCTTTCTTGTTCATCAAATTTGGATAATGAAGTTTAATCTGATCCTACGCCAGCAAATTGGATGCAGTTAAATGCAGATCTTAACCATTTTCAATGGGTTTTATAAAAAATTATTGACATCCTCGGAATATGGTAAAATGTTAATGAGCCACAATCAGTCTAATATCTATTTAAGCTGGTAAGACCTTTAGAAAAAACTGATGAACGCAACCTAAAAACTAAAAAAAAAAAAAAAAAAAAAAAAAATCAAACTGTACTTTTTTTGTGGCAAGCAACAGTCACCTACTATAACTGCTTATTCAATACTATTGTGTGACTTGGAAAACAGTTTTTCATTTCATATTCATGTTGTTTATTTTCGTGTTAGAAATGTTACGCTTTTAATTTGTAGCTAAGAGGCGTTTGTGTAATGACTCACTGGAGGTCCTTTTTCTCCTTTAACACCAGCTTCTCCAGGCTGACCAGGTTGTCCCTTCACCGTGCAAGAACAAAAACACATACAAGAAAGCAAAAATGTTATCTTCATGTGATAATATACAGAGGGAATTTAAAACGGAGGAGTTTGTTGACTCACCGGCGGACCTGGTGGTCCTACTCTTCCTCGAGCTCCAGAAATACCAATGTGACCCTGAAAAACAGAAGTTAAACAACTATAAGCTTTTTTAACTTAATACTTAAATACTGAAAGTGCATTATATTTTTTTCTTTTGGGAAGAAAGTTGCTTCATGCTTAGAATCAACTGCTTCAAAATCCAAATGAAAATCAGTATTCTTTTTTGGTTAAGCTTTCTTTTCTAGTAGTACAGTAAGACAACTGTTGTAACTGCAGAAGTAATTCTAAGAAATCTTAGGAAAATGTTTGAAAAACAAAAAAAAAAAAAACATCTGTAATAACATGTTAAATATTACTCAGAAAATATTATTCCAAACTCTAAACTTTGTTAAACTTAGGTTTCCGCTATTACCTTGCAGCATAAAGAACCAGAGGTAACATGTTCAAAATCTAGTTAAATTCAATAATTCATCAAAGTTTCTCAAAGGACTTTCATGCTGGAGTTTAATGTGCAAACCTTCAAATGAAAATAAAAGGCAGAAAAATATTCACAGTTTGCGTTAGCTCTGCCATATACATTGTTTTCATGGTTTTACCTACCATGTATCCTTCGTCTCCTGGCTCTCCACGTTCTCCACGCTCTCCTGGAGGCCCCTGAGTAAACATTAATGCAAGCATATAAAAGTCTGTGAAAGATAAAGGCTTGCTTTTCCTGTGTTGTATCGCTACTTAAAATTAAAACGTATTTCTTATATATGCATTTTTTCTAGCTTTAATAAAAAAGGGATTCCAACTTTAATACTAACAGTCCAAACTTTAAATCCTAGAAAATAAGGCCACTGTTTATCAATCGCATAGTAAGGCTCTTATAGTTTGGGGAGTGTTGGTCTAGTGGGTTAGAGCAGTGTGCTTATGCTCTGAGAAGGTTGCAAGTACCTGGTTCGAATCCCACTACCTCCAATGTGCTCCCCCAGGGGCTGCACAATGGCAGCCCACTGCTCCCCAAGGGCATGGTTTAAATGCAGAAATAAATTTCTTCATTGTGAGATCACTTATGTTCAATCTTAGAATTATATTATAATTGTAATTCCAGTGATATAAAACATGTAATATTTATGCTCAAGTCCCTCTAATGTGTAATATAGTCCCCTTTCAATGCTAGTCTAAGAATTGTGGTGAGAGGCCTTGTATTGACAATTTGCTGTTGTCAAATGAAGATGGATTTTCTAAAAAATTGTAGCAGTCAATGCCAGGAACAATGAATGCAATGCAACGCAAAAATAAACAAAAAAACATTCTCTTCTCAAGCAAAAAAAAAAAAAAACTTTATTGCCAAAAACCTTCTTTTTATATGGCATTAAAAAAAAGAATTGCATAGTTTGAAGGAAAGCAAGACCTACTGGTTCACCTAAGGGCCCTGGTGGTCCTGGAGTCGTATTGTCCTCGCCAGGATAGCCCTGGGATGCATCCAAAGAGCACAATAAGAAATATGCATTGATCTAGTTCAGCCAAGCAATCTTTACCACAATTTAAAGCAACGTTTATGGAAAGCACTTTTAATATAAAAAAAAAGCTCAACCAGTCAAAAGGTTGGACACACTTTTGCCGTTCAGGTGCTTTTCCTTCTACATCTTAAAACTACACAGTGCAAATTTATAAAGGATTATCGAGCAAATAATAAAAATATGTTAAATAATTTCAAAGATCTTTTCTATTTTAAATTTGTTAAAATAGAACCCCTTTGATTTGGTAACGGCCTTGTAGACTCAAGGTGTTCTCTTGTTAAAGAGGTCCTCACCTGCAGTCTCAAAGAATCTTCCGGCAGTGGTAATAAAGAGAAACCGTTTGAATGAAAAACTCCAAATTTTTGACTCATGCATTTTCATTAAGAAGGCTTATTTAAATCATATTACCTTTTCACCTTTGGGTCCTGGTGGTCCAATCGGACCAGGTTTGCCAGGGTGCCCCTAAAGAGGCAAAAGTTATTTTTATACATAATCTAAAGATCATTCAAAACTAAAATTGAAAAAGCTGACAAAATATTAACACTAGCTGTTCCATATAAAAAAAATACTCTATCTAATAAAAAAAAAACATAAATGTTATCATTTCAGGACTTGTATTATCAGCTGAAAATAATGCAATGGCTGAATAGTGTTTTTATTATTACAGCATGTTATCTGTAAAAATAATGAAATTGAAAACAAGTTCTCTTATATAACAAACGTGGAAAAATGTACTGGATATCCTGGCAGTCCAGGCTGTCCTTCAACCCCCATGGCTCCTGGTCGACCCTGCAAAAAATGATTGACATGATTGAAACTTCTGTTTTATTTCATTTAACTATAATGACAATTCAATTAATCAATTAATTTTTTTCTACTTTTCACACAGATCCTGGGATATTGTTTCCCTTATTAATGAATTCTCTTAATAATTCAATTTGACATTAAGGCAATCCAAAGTAAGAAGTAAAACAGAAAAAATAGGAACTAACGGGTGGCCCTCGAGTTCCCCGGGCACCTTTCAGCCCTGGCTCTCCTGGTTGGCCGATGTCCCCCCGAGAACCAATCTCACCAACAAGACCAGGAGGACCCATCTCCCCCTGCAAAGATCCAAAGACTCAGTTCATGGTAGGAACAAAAATGAAACAGGATGGAATAAAAAAGAAGCTCTTCCTCTGAACACAGACACCTTTTTTTTCATACAGCAGTAAAGTTATTCACACCCCTTGAGCTTTTTCTCATTTGATTGAGGATAAAATTAATTGATGCAGGGTTAAGAAAAAAAAAATTAGATCACCAACATACTCAGAGATCTACATCTCAAGTGGCTTTCAAAACTGTAATATTTATGAAAAAGTGGCAAAATGAGGCCATCGTGGAATGAAGACTTGTCTATAATTCACTGCAAACCACTTTGGAGACATCACAATTATATTGAAGATGATGCTCTACTCAGATAAGACTGATTAGAGCCTCTTGTCAATACCCTTTATATTACAAAAACTAATGCTGGTGAAGATTCTCAGTCATCCAGGTCATAGTCATTCCAAAAAAGTTCAGTGAAACGTGAAAAGTGAACCAAAACGCACGTCCGTTTCAATTTGCATGTTGTCTAAGCAAAAACAAGGCTTTGTTGGGGTACTGTATAAACTCAATGCTATTTCTTTTGAAAAAGCTCATTGGATGGGAAGCCAAACATCTTCACTCTTGGAAACAAAGTCCAGTGGTTTGGTTTTTTTTTTAAACTTTTTTTTGTAATACAAACACTATTGCACATAACTCTGAGTGTACTCTCTAAAGAATGAAACACTGTGATGGCATTAGTATGGTATGCAGAGGGTATGGTCTTCATTTGCAAGGACAGAAAAAATGGGTTTCTGAATTTATAAGAAAGATGGTGGATGAAGCAAAAAGCATGTCTCTTCTGGTAGAAAACTGGAGGCTGCAAGGTACCAATTTAAACCAATAGAAAAATTCAACTGCAATAGCAGGTGTTACACCCTACCAGTGCAGCACTGAGACAGTTTTCAGACAAATATTGCAGAACTAAACAAATTCACATATGAAACATTTAAATAAAAACAGCAGTAAGGTTAATAAAACTCAGTTTATGCAGTTAATCTGCAAAAATAGTTTGATTTTACAGTAAGTTATACTTTAAATAAAGTTACATATGGCCCTCACCTTCTTTCCATGGCGTCCCCTGTTCCCTGGAGGACCGAGTTTTCCTTCTGGTCCCTATAAAGTAAAATTAATAAAATAAAATATTTTAACATTCTTTTATATTTATTTGATCGTAAACCTTGGTAGATCATTAAAAACCCAAAACAAAACATTAAAATAAAACTTACCCGAAAGCCCTGTTTTCCAGGTATTCCTGCTGGTCCTTGAGGCCCAGAATCTCCTTCTTGTCCTTTTTCCCCCGGCTCCCCAAAGGGCCCACGCTCCCCAGGTTCACCCTAAAAAAAAAAAACGTTTCAGTTTATGTGCCATGATGCTCACAACCCTAACAGGAAATTATTGCAGAATTT